TGGGCTCTGCCCTGTGTAGCCATGGCAGGTCAGAGGCCAGGATGCAGAGCTGGCAGAGAGAGGGGACCTCTCCCAACCACCCAATGTGAAGTCGAATCGTGCGCAGTTCCATCTAGAACAGTCTCTGGTGCTACCTGGCCTTGGCATCCCAAATGTGGCTTGGGGACTCTCTCTCCCACAGGTAGCCAAGAGCCATGGGAGGCCACTGCACGGGGCAGGGATGGGATGCTTGAGTGCAGGGGAAGCTGCTGGAACCATCAGGAGGGAAGCCATGGCAGGTTGAGCAGTGTGCCTGGAGCCATGGGGTCAAGAACACACGGTGAACAGTTACTGGGCCCCTCGTTCCGGAGGGGACTGCTGCAGGCTCAAAACTCTGAGCAGGGGGAGGCCACCCCACTGCAGACTAGGGGAGTAAGGAGAGAGGCCAGTGAGGGCTTGGGCATGTGGAGAAGCTGGGTGCATGTGGGCGAGGGTGAGAGCTCACCCAGCCAGTCCACATCCCCCACCCCCTGCTATGTGCTGAGAGGGCAGCTCCCCCACTGCTTCTGGACAGGTCCCACCTTTGTCTCGTGGTGGGGGCGAGGGGAGCAGAGGAGGCCTTGATTGGCACTAATTCATTCCATCATTCATTCACCGAGTTGAGAGCAGCGCACAGGTGCCAGTCCCCAGCCTCGTCCAGGACAGTCTCTGGGGTCAGGCAGTGGGCAGGGGCAGGCCAGGGGTACATGCTGCCAGAGCAGCTGCATTGCCCAAGGGGGGCAGCAGGAGCCCGGCCTGTGCAGAGGGCAACGGCCTCACCCACACCCGCAGCTCCCAGGGGCCTTGCTCGTTGCATGGGGCCTTAGCACTGCACCTCCACGCAGTGGTGCTCGCCGTCCAGTATGTGGCCCCGGGTGCCAGGCTGGGAACCTGAGGCTTGTCCCAGGTGCCAGGCTGGGAACCTGAGGCTTGTAGAAGCCCACCAGTGGCGGCTCCACAGTTGGCCAGAGGGCGTGGGGCCTGGCTGCTGCACAGCCTGTGTGGACAGCAGCCTGAGCCCTCCCTGGGGACAGTGGACCTGGCCACTGTGCAGCCTGTGTGGCCGGCAGCCTGAACTCTCCCTGTGGACAGCAGTTCACACATGCTTCCTGCAGCACCCTGGCACAGCGGCCACAAATGGATCAGTGAGCACATGGGCAGACTGGTGGGTAGATGGATAACGGCCGAATACACAGTGGATGGAGAGGCGAGGGGTGAGGGGTGGATGTGTTAGAGGACATGAGAGGGGTAGGGTGGTTCCCCTTGCCAGAAAGAATTCAGCCATGAGGCAGAGAGCCCTGGTCAGTGAGGTAGCAAGGTTTAAGGGGCAGGGGTATCCATCAGATGCTGCATGGCTAGTGGACAGCTGAGGGTACAGGTAGATGGCTGGCTGGATGTGAAGGTGGCTGGAAGTCTTTATGGTCTGTGAGGTGATCAGAGGGTGTGTCCTTGCTCAGCTGTCACCCTGGGCACAGGGCTGCCAGTGCTGGTGGGCCATGACAGAATGCCCAGCAGCTCCTGCCCTTCCTGCTTCTGTCCGGGACCTTTGGGCACAGGGACCAGTGCTCCTGGGGCTGTCCTGCCCTGCAGGTCCACTGGCTCCAGCACCGGCAGGTCTACCAGCACCCTGCACCGGCTCCAGCAGAGGCAGTGGCCTGGGGTCACACAGGCCATGCACATTGATGTCCAGATCTGAGCCAAGTCATGAGTCACCCACAGAACTCCCCGTGGTCCCAGGGAGCCAAGCCTGGCACAGCAGGGGAAGCTGCCCAGCCTACTGGGGATGTGCATCCTGCAACACCTTCAGCTGCCCGAGACCAGGAAGGGTCGGGGTGGAGTGGGACAGGCCCACTGCACTTCATGCCACGATGTGAAAACACATTTTGTTGTTGGATCAATTGCTGCTTGACCAGACCATCCTGGGCTCCCATCTGAGATCCGTGTCTGAGCCCAAGGATGCTATCCCTCGGCAAGCCATGAATTTAGAGCTGTGAAACAGAAAAAGGGGGTGGGTAGTGGTGACATAGTCCATTAAGCTGCCATCTCCAACACGAGCATCCATGGGCACCGGTTCGAGTCCCGGCTGCTCTGCTTCCTTTCCAGCTCCCTGCTAATATGCCTGGGGAAGCAGCAGAGGATGGCCCAAGTGCTTGGGGCCTGCCCCCACCTGGGGGACCTGGACAGACCTGCTGGCTCCTGCCTGTGGACTGCCCCAGCCCTGGCTGATACAGAATTGGGGGAGAGAACCAGCAGGTGAATCCCTGTTGTGTCTCCTCTGTCATTTCCATCTTTCAAAAGGAATTTTATCCCCCTCCAAAAAAGGAAAAGAATAGAACCCCAGAAAGTGCCAGGCGAGAGCACAAGGACTGGCAAGGGTGTCTGGGTCCAGGGGGACGCCTCACCCGTGGGACCTGCCTGGGTCCAGGGGGACACCGGCCATGTGCTGCCTGCCAGGCTCTCCCAGTGGGTGATGAGGTGGTTGGGAAGGCTCCTCTTGTTGCCCGCGACCCAGCCCTTCGGCTGCTGATTCTTTTCTTCAGCGGCCTCACTAGGTAATGCTGTGGCCTGGTGCCAGTCTGCACGGCTGGCAGGTGCTGTGGGGCTGGGCACGTGCCAGAGGATCTGAAAGAGGCTGCTTGAGTAAAGTTGAATTTTTAAAAATATGTATTTATTTTATGTTATTGTTTGTTTTAGATTTATTCATTTTTATTACAAAGTCGGGTATACAGAGAGGGGGAGACAGAGAGGATAATCTTCCCTCCGATGATTCACTGGCCAAGTGAGCGCAACGGCCGGTGCTGTGCCAATCCCGGTGTCAGGAGCCAGGAACTTCCTCCAGGTCTCCCACGCAGGTGCAGGGTCCCAAGGCTTTGGGCCGTCCTCGACTGCCCTCCCAGGCCACAGGCAGGGAGCTGGATGGGAAGTGGAGCTGCTGGGGATTAGAACCGGCACCCATATGGGATCCTGGCGCATTCAAGGCGAGGACTTTAGCCACTAGGCCACTGTGCCAGGCCCTAATATGTGTTTATTCTAAAAGTCAGCGTTCCAGAGGGACAGACTGCTGGAACCCTCCACTGGTTCGTGCCCCCAATGGCTGCAACAGCCAGTTTGGTTAGGCCAAAACCAGGAACCAGGAGCTCCACATCAGGGTCTTCAGCGTGGGTGCAGGAGCCCAAGCACTTGGACCATCCTTCGCTGCTTTCTCGAGTGCATCAGCAGGGAGCTGGATCAGAAGTGGAACTGCCTGGACTTGAACTGGTGTCCCTGATGGGATGCCAACGCTGTAGATAGCAGTTTCTATGGGTGCCATGCCCCAACATAAAACTGCTATGTATCAGAGGCCATGCAGCTCATGCAGAGGGGCGGTGGGCTCTTGTTCACCTCGGCAGTGAAAGAAAGACACCAGGTTCAAGTGTGAGACCTGCCCGAGGCCCCGCCTCACGACACACAGAAGGCGCACAGATGGTGGCTGCGTGCGTGGCCTGGTGCCCGGCCTCCTGGGCCAGATGGAGACCCACCTGCCCCAGGGCCAGCTCTAGTGCAAGCAAGCAAGTGTTGGCTGAGGGCTGCCCAGGCGGTAAATGAGCCGGGCAGCAGGTCCACTCCCACAGGGGACACAGGCAAGTGCACAGGACGGGGCTGCCAGCAGTTCTGGGGTCTGTAGCGGCGGGGAACAGCCCAGGTTTCTGCCCACTGCAGCTGAGGGGGCTGGGTGCACAGTGGCAGCTGGAGGCCACACCTAGCCGATGTAGAAGGGGCGGATCCCTAGAGGCAGCCCCCAGGGGCTGCTGGCTGCACAAGGTGAAATAAGGCATTGGGCTGGGAGGGGGCAGGGTTAGGGGAATGTTCTGGAACAGATCATGGCAGCACAAGTGAAAACCACTTGCAGTTTTATCTCCAGAGAGCTTTTTGTTAAGAAACACCCAGTGGCCTAAAGAGGTGGACTTCCTGGCACCTGGGACCTCCCCTGCATGGTCCCCTGCGACCCACCCCCCCTGCCAGCCTCAGCAGGGGGCAGGGCGGGGCCTGGACCATGGAGCTGATAACCGCTTTCCCAGTGGACTGCTGGGAATGACGGCTGCGTGCGCAGGCCAGCAACCTGAGTCACTGCTGAGCTCACCCTGGAAGTGGAACTTCCTGCCTGACTTGACTCACCACCTCCCTGTGCCCCCCCAGGGTGTCCCGGAGCTGCAGGGTCCGTGTCAGAGGGGGCATTCCAGGTGACCCCTCCACAGCGCGGCCTCACCTGCTCAGAGCACGCAGTGTTGCCTGCAGTTGGGCGCCATGCTGACTCTACCCTGAGGGTCAGCCCTGTGGTGTACGTGGGCATCTGTGGGTGAGAAGTGAAGATGCCCAGGCACCAGGAAGGACCACAGTGGCCGCGGGTGCCTAGGAACACGTTGCACATTTGCTTGTGTGTGCGTACCTGCTTCCGGCCATCCTCCCCACCCCCTCCCTGCCTCTGTGCATCCCTGTGCAGGGCCGGGCCAAGCGCAGCAGAGCCGGCTGTGCAGGGCAGCTTGGGGACAGCTTCAAGGCTGGCAACACTTGCCGTGGCTCTGTCCTCTCCCACGTGCCAGGAGTTAGGAGAACAGATGGGTTCTGGGGCTTAAATGGGATCACCCCGGCAGGTCCCAGGTTGGGGGGTGGTTTGCTTGGATGCCAGAGGTGCCCCTGTGGTGAGTGGGTGCCAGGTGGGGGTCGAGGGCAGGAGGGGTGGAGCCCGGGTCTGTGCGTCTCCGGTGCAAACCCTCCACACTCGCTCGTTGCCTCACTCCGTGCCTTTTGGCTGTTTGGTGGGTTTGCACTCATGTTGGGTCGACTCCTCCCTCGCAGCTGGCCCTAGTCCAAACGGGCAAAGGCAGTGGGCGTGCAGATCTGGGTCCTGGCCCCAGGATGGGCAGAAGATCTGAGGGTATGGGCGTGACTGCGGGCGGCCCCAGACAGTAGCTCACGTGCCGCTCTCTCTTCTGGATGTTTAGGTTGCAAGATGGGAACAGAAAACGCACAGGCTGAGCAAGGCCTTTGGGTCCCCCTACCTGGCCTGCTATGCCCTGGGTGCTGCTATCCTGCTGCTGAACCTGCTGCGCTCCCACTGGTAAGTGTGCCCGGCCACCCGCCGCAGGTGCCCTGGGGTCATGTGGGCTGTGGAGGGGCTGTGTCAGCACAGGCCATCAGAGACCTCTATAGCCACCCCGCGCCCCCTTCCCCAGGAGTCCCAGTGACCTCGCAGAGGGCACAGGGGACAGAATCTCCCAGCTGCAACCACGTGGCAGCCATGTGCTGCCTGCAGGTTCTGGGAGACCACATACACACGATGCCAAGCCTGTGTTTTAGAGGTGCAGGAGGCAGTGACATCCGTGGGTTCCTGGTGACCCACCTTGAAAATTTCCCTCTTCCTTTCCCTGCCAGCAACCACCCAGACCCTCTGCCAGCACCCCCTGGACTTGGCTACTGCCCCTGCCCTCCCAGGGGGCCGGAACCCAGTGGGAGCTGAGCCCAAGGGATGTCGGGCCGCGGGACAGTGTGAGGGTCCCAGTCACCAGGGGTCACTCCACCAGCTGGGCTGGGCAGTTGGAGGCCAGGTGTGACCCAGACCACGGTGGGCGGGCAGCTGGTCAGTGCCAGGTGTGATCCAGACCACGGTGGGCGGGCAGCTGGTCAGGGCCAGGTGTGATCCAGACCACGGTGTCGGGAAGCTGGTCAGGGCCGGGTGTGATCCAGACCACAGTGGGCGGGCAGCTGGTCAGGGCCAGGTGTGATCCAGACCACGGTGGCGGGCAGCTGGTCAGGGCAGAGCTGTGTGCTGTGGCTACAGTGGGAATGGGGAAGGCGGCAGCAGGGGCTTGCGTAGCTCCCCTGTCGGACTCTTCCCACAACCCATGCCCTCTGTGAGGAGATGGGGCGGGGGGCTCTGGGCAGCCGGGTCTGCCTGTCCCTGTTTCCCATCAGCTTGGCACTGTGGGGCAAGTGCAGGTCCCTCTCGCTCCTTGGCCACGTTTGTGGTCTTTAAAGCTGTGAATGTGTAGCAGCCCCAGTCACAGCCTGAGGTGGAGCTGGCAGGCTCTCAGCAGAGGAGGCTAACCTGTGACCCTGTTCCTGGTCCCCATCACTGGGCTGTGAGCTTGTCTCCGAAGGCTGGAGGGGGGATGGGTCCCCTCCCAGGCTCCCCGAGGCTGAGATGCACTCGGGCAGCACTGTGAACACTGAACTTGAGATTTGGCATCAGATCGGAAGTGTGGTTGTGGGACAGGGGTGTGGGTCCCTGAACTCCTTTGAGTTCTCCCATCTCCTGCCTGGGTCAGAAGCTGTGGGTGAGGTCCATAAAAGCAAACTCAAAAGGATTAGGCTAGACACAGGGCCACAAGGGGGGCCAGCTGGGATGCGGAGGCCTTCCAGGCGCCTCCGCCGACCCCATACCTCGCCCCGCTGAGGTGCAGAGGGGCTGTGTGTGTTCACGTTCTTTCTAAGGAGCCTTGGCAGCAGCTGCGTCCCGCAGGAAGAAAGGGCTGCAAGGAGGGGCAGGGAGGTCAGCAAGGCCCACCAACTGGGGAAGGGGGTGGCCTGGTGAGGGGTAACGCCCTGACCTTAGGGAGTCAGGAACATGGTGCTGGTCAGGGTTGGGCCGTTGGTCTGGGAGCTGTGGGTTGGGGTCTTCAGGGCTACAATGCCTTCCTCCCCACTTGCACCCCACAGAGGCCTGCCAGTGCCCGGAAGCTCGATCCCAAGCTTTATAAATAGAGCCCGAGGCCGCCTGCCCTCGTCCATCTCCTGGGCAGAAGGGGCTGTGCTTTCCCGGCTCTGATGCAGGAGCCGGAACACCGCCGTCACCTAATTGGGCCTTAATTCCCATAACCCTGATGTTCTGATCACAGAGCAAGAGAATGTGGCTGTGACCGGCTAGGTCTCTGCCCTCAGCCTCCACCACAGCTTGATTGATGCTGGCGGGGCTGGATCGAGGGCTACGCAGGTTGATTCTGCGGCAGCCACATAGCCGCTGTGGGCCTCCGCGGGCCTGGCCTCAGGCCGGTCCACGCTCGGGGTTCAGCAGCCACTGCTGCCACCACTGGCCATCATGCTTTTCCTGCTGGGCCCGGAAGCAGGCTGGGCCTCCACGATTGATGCCCCAGGGTCTGTGTCCTTGGCCTTGGTCATGCCTGATGGTCTCCCCAGAGTCTCAGCTGGAGTACCCCTTCGTGTGTGTGCGTGTGTGGGTGCATACACCTGTCCTGTACACCCCGCACTTCCTCCTGCTCTGGTCACCCTGCGTGTCTGTCCTTCCCACTGTCCACAAGCCCCAGGGCCTGTTGTGTGCACACAAACAGCAAGGCAACAGCTGGGCTCCCAGAGCCAACAGCCGGAAGGTGAGCCCCGTCCCCGAGCCCTCCGTCTGTACCTCTCCCACCCCACCATCCGTCTCTCTCTCTCTCTCTCTCTCTCTCTCTCTCTCTCTCTCTCTCGGGCCACAGCAGCCAGCCCTACAGGCTGAAGGTGGGGGGCAGGGTGGGCCTCCTCACGTCACACACTAGTTCCAGGGCAGCTGTGGCCTTGAGCCAATCCTGGCAGCTTGGCTGCAGCTACAAGGTGACCCAGAGCTGACAAGCAGGAGAGCAGGGCTGGGTAGAGAGCTGGGGGTGTGGGCAGCGTGCCCGGGGCTGGGTTTGTCCTGACACACATGGAGACACCATGGCAGGTCACCTCAGGCCGGCCTCCATGTACTGCGGCCTGTCGGCTGCTTGTCCAGGGTATGCCTCCCCTCCACTCTCTCTGATGAGGGAAGCAGAAGGGGGTCGGGGGAGTGCTGCTCTCTCTGTCCCTTGCTGCCCATGCTAAGTACAGGGCACATGGCAGGGAAGGACCAGCACCCTGATCCCCGCCCCCAACCAAGCAGAATGTCTCATCACAGGTCAGAGCTGAGAACAGTGTCAGAGTCTGAACATAGCGAAGGGCTGAGCAAACGGGCCTGCTGACCTCACTGCCTGGAAATCCCTGCAGGCAGCTAGGCTTTGTGACGAATGAATGGATGCATGGACGATGAAGAGAGAAGGAGGGAGGGGTTGGCTGGCTGGCTGGATGGATGGCAGGGATGGATGGATGGTGGGGATGGATGGATGGATGGGTGGATGGCGGGGATGGATGGATGGATGGATGGTGGGGATGGATGGATGGATGGATGGATGGATGGATGGATGGATGATGGGGATGGATGGATGGATGGATGGGTGGATGGCGGGGATGGATGGATGGATGGGTGGATGGCGGGGATGGATGGATGGATGGGTGGATGGCGGGGATGGATGGATGGATGGGTGGATGGCGGGGATGGATGGATGGATGGATGGGTGGATGGATGGATGGATGGCAGGGATGGATGGATGGATGGATGGATGGATGGTGGGGATGGATGGATGGATGGATGGTGGGGATGGATGGATGGATGGGTGGGGATGGATGGATGGATGGCGGGGATGGATGGATGGTGGGGATGGATGGATGGATGGATGGATGGATGGCGGGGATGGATGGATGGGTGGGGATGGATGGATGGATGGATGGATGGGTGGGGATGGGTAGATGAATAGATGGATGGATGCCCGAACAGGTGGAGATGGACTCAATGGAGTGTATGTTGATGGATAAAGAGAAAGGAAGATGGGTTTTTCCCATGCATGAATGGATGGGTACATGATGTGGGTGGACAGGACGATGGATGGGTGGGGGTGATAGATGAATAGATTGGCTGGTGGATGGGTGGGGGTGGCTGGATGAATGGGTAGATGGAAAACCAAAAAGTCACCCTCCTAGGACAGCATAGGGTTCCCTGGGTGGTCCCAGGTCCCACCTGCAGCCACAGGGGTTAAAGGCTAGCTGGGAGGAGGGGGTGGTGGGACAGCCCCTCCATGGTGACACCACTGCCTGCCCCACCTCTCTCCGCAGCTTCACAGAGGCAATGCTGCAGCAGCCCAAGATGGACAGCCTGGACACTGCCCTGGTCCAGCACCTGGGCCTCGCGCTGCTGGCCATGGGCATCCTGTTTGTGGTCTCCAGCTTCCTCGCTCTGGGCTTCACTGGGACCTTCCTAGGTGAGCACTGGGGGGCTTGGCTCAGCTGTGGGTCAACCAGGAGCTGGGAGCTGACATCTGACCCCGCCTCCTGGAGTGGAGGCAGCTCCCCCTGGCCCTGGGCCACCATCATCCCCTGCTCCGAGGTAATCACTCGGCCTGTGCACCCCATTGCACAGCAAAGCGCAGGTGCACAGGGGTGCAGTGGCAGAGCCTCCATCCCCTTGGCCATTTCCACTGCGTTCTTCCTGCTCCCTGCCAAGACCAAGATGCAATGACCCTTCGTGGCACTTGGGGCTTGCAGGCAGGGCTGTGGCGGGGCAAGGGCAGTTTCCTAGGGCAGGGCTGTTGGTCCCCTGGGGGAGAAGGGGATCCCTGCATCCTCACCTCTGCCCAGGGTCCCAGAAGTGCAGAGGCCATCAGAGGGAGGCAGCAGACCCTCCCCGCGCAGCCTTGGCCTAGAAACCCCCTGCCTTGCCCCATTGCTGTGAGTCAGCCTCCGGTGGATTTCCAGGCCACCCACCTCCTGGCTCCACTGCCCCACTTCCTGCTTCCCAGCAGCCCCTAGGCAGCCCCAAGCCCTGCATTCATTGTCCCCAGACAACAGCCGGCGCCCCAGGTGCCGGCTGCCCCCCAGCCTGTGGCTGTCCTAGTTTCTGCCAGTTGGGGAGCGGGGAGTGGAGGGAGGTGCATTGTCCCTCCACAGGAGGGGCTTCTGGGCACAGGGCCTGGTGGCTTTCACAGCTTCATCCTCCTCCACACCACGGCTTGGGGGTGACCGCCATCTATCCCTTAAGAAGCACCTGGAGAGTGGGGAGGGAATGGGGAGACTGGGTGGCCCTTTCTGCCCTCCTGGGGTGGTGGAGGTGTGAGGCACACAGCCCCAGGGGAGAGGTTATGGGGGCGGGGGCCAGAGGGGGCGCGGAGGGGGAAGGGACAGGACACACAGAACAGGGATCAGCTACGATCCAAGAGAGGGACCAGCATGTGCCAAGGGCCCGGGGGTGGCTGGAGGAGGCCTGGCCCCGCCCCTGAGTGACCCCTGTACCACCCACTCTTCCACAGGTGATTACTTCGGGATCCTCAAGGAAGCAAGAGTGACCACATTCCCTTTCAACATCCTGGACAACCCCATGTACTGGGGAAGCACGGCCAACTACCTGGGCTGGGCCCTCATGTGAGTGCCGGGCTGGGCCGGGAGCTGGCCCTGTCTCGGAAGCCCCCATCCTCTGAGCCCAGCCAGCCCACCAGGGACCACCTGCAGTGTGATCGCCCTTCCCTGCCCACCCCCAGCACTGGATCCTCTGCTGATTTTTTTTTTTTTCATCATTTATAAATGCCGAAGCCCCCCACACTCCCTCCCGCCAGCCTCTCCCCGAGGGCTGCCTGGTGGAGAGGGCATGCAGGCTGCCCAAGTGAACCCCCAAACCTCCCTGTGCCCCGTTGGCTTCCAGAAGCCCTTCAGGTGGACCCAGCTCCACAGCACAGACCCTTCCAGAGGGGGTGCTCTCCCCGGGACTGCTCCTGCCCCCCGTCCTGTGGGCAGAGGAGGCACTAAGGTCCTTGTTCTCGAGGCTGCTTTATTTATTTGAAAGAATTACAGAGAGAGGGAGAGAGATCTTCCATGCGCTGGTTCACTCCCCAGATGGCCACACCTGGACCAGACTGAAGCCGGAACCCCGTGTGGGTCTCCCACGTGGGCACGGGCCCCGGGCACTCGAGTCATCTTCACCGCTTTTCAAGCACATTCATAGGGAGCCGGATCAGAAGTGGGGCAGGACTCAAACCAGCACCCATGTGAGATGTGGGTGCTGCAGGTGAAGAATTAAAGTGTGACATCTGGCGCCAGCCCCCACACTTTGCTCTTACGTGGCGGCGTGTCAGGAGCCAGCTGCCGCCCCCTGACTGCCACCCCCTGCCCTCTGAGCTGCAGGAGTTGGAGCAGCTGGGGTTTGTGTGTGTGCAGTCCTTGGAGCTCGGCCTGTGGACTGTCCCTCGTGGCTGCCAGGCCTACCCCGGGCCCATCTAGCTCCCACTCGTGGGGAGCTGCAGGTGCCTGAGCCACGGGGTGCTCCCCACTTGGGGCTCAGTGTCGCTGCATCTGGGCTTGTGAGCAGGGGTGTGGTGTGGTGTGGGAGGGGCGTGGCTGTCAGGTCCCATGGCACCTCTGGGGCTGGCCACTCCACGGCAGCATCTCCCTGTGGCAGTGAGGGGGAGCTCCGCCCCCTGCAGAGGCGCTGCCAACCCCCAGAACTGGGCTGAGCTCCCAAATGAACAGACTGACAGGTGGGGGGCATTGGCAGGGTCCAGGGTCCCTGCAGGCTCCCTCCTGGCAGCCCGTGGGACAGCAGCAGGCCCAGTCCTGAACTTGGGCACTCTGCCCCTGAGCACAGGAGAGAGAACAGACACCTCCCCCTAGGGGTGGGGAGGGCAGATGGGGGTGGGGGTTCCTGATGCCCCTCTCCCCACTTCTCTTCTTCCAAGACTTGGTCACTGGGGCTGTTCCAAGAGGCCACTCGTGTCCCCACATGGCTTAGACCCTCCTGCCTCTGGGCTGGGGAATCCCGTGGCCAGGATGGCACACATCCTGCTTGCCGGGTAGACAGCCGGGCCGGGGAAGGGGAGACGGGGCCAGTGTCGCTTATTTGGTGAAGCCCAGAGAGTGTTGGGGGGGCAGGGCACCCTGATGTGTGCGCACCTGTCTCCTCAGGCAAGCCAGCCCCACTGGCCTGGTGTTGACGGCTGTGGTGGCCCTCGTCTACGTGGTGGCCGTCTACTATGAGGAGTGAGTAGGGGCCGGCGTGCTGGGTGGGATGTGGGCTGCCTAGTCACAGGTGCACAGCAGGAGCTTGGGGTGGGCACCCACCCTCAGCCTCTGCCCCCTTCCCTGATGGCTCTCACCTGTGGGGGTAGGAGTGGGGGTGGGGGGAGAGGGTCCTATTGGAGGGGAGGGGCTGGGCACCCACCCCCCCAGGGCCTGCTGACCATGGCCTGCCATGCCCGGCCCCTCCCACAGGCCATTCACTGCAGAGATCTACCGGCAAAAGACTGCCAGGTCCCACAAACGGAGATGAGCAGACCCCGCGTGGGGGAGCAGCAGCCAGCGGAGCCCTCCCCGAGCCTTGGGAACTTGCTGCCTTGGGGGCCCTGGGCCCGCTGTCGCGTGGCCTCAGCCCGGGCCGTAACCGCACACACCAATAAAGCCCCTTTGACCCCAGCAGGCCCCAATGTCTGGCCATCTCCCCTCGCCGTGCCCCCACGAGATTCCCCTTGCGGTCAGTGGAGGAGACGCCAGGGCCATGCGTCTTCCAAGACTATGCAGTCTTCCAGGACTGCCCCGTGGATATAAAGGACCACCATGGGACTCATGCTTGTTGCTTGGAGGGGTCTGGGGGGCTGGTGCCGGGCAGGGCACAGGGGATCACAGCGTAGGATCCCATGGCCCCTAGCTCCCCACCGCCCTCATTCCGTTCTGGGCCACACCCCACGTCTCCATGCTCCCCTGGGAGGATTTGGGAAGATGATCACAGCAGAGCTGCTGCCTTGGCTAGCTTTGCCCTGTGCATCTCTTTTGTGGACCCTGAAGGCCCTGTGGGCACCTGCGTTCTCTAGGAAGGGCTCCACACCCATGCCAGGCCCACCTCCTCAACTTATGACTCCTAGGCTCCACTACCTGGCTGAGGACAGCACAGGACAGTGTCCCGGGGCCAGCCTCCCGTAGCTGTCCCCAGGCCCAAGTGTCACTCTGCGTTTGTGTCCAAGCCCTGGCTTCAAGCCAGAGGCCCTCTGCAGGGCAGGGTAGTGGGCGCCTGGGAGTTTCTGGCCAGGAGCCGTCAGCCAGGTCCTTCAATGGTCGTGGTCTCATGCCCAGCTGCCCCTCCTCACTCCTCTGGCTTGGGCAGGTGCCTAGCTTGCCACTCCACTTGGGGTGGCATCCTGCCGCCCGTCCTGGATCCCTCCTGGCCTCAGAGAGACTGGGCCTGGTGCCTGCCATCTGTGCTTCATGTGAAAAACATTGGCGGGCAGGTGAGGGGTCGGGGAGGCAGTGTGGTTTCCTTGGCAACCAGTTCAGGCTTCCCACTGACCCACCTACCTCCTCCCCTTCCTTGAGCTGGAGAGGCGCTCTGGGATCCACCCCCCTCTCCGCCCCGGCCTTGCAGTGTTCCTAGGCAGCGCACCTGTCACAGTGAGGGGCCCTGCAGGAGACAGCTGCGACAGATCAGTTGAGGTGGACAACTTAGAGGACAAAGCAGAGATGGAGGCCGTACTGTGGCAAGCTGGGGACACCTGTGTCTTCCCTCAGGCTGTGCAGGTGGCTCGCCTGGGCCAGTGGGGGGTGAGGGGCCGGGCACAACCAGGATCTGGGCCCCTGGCAGGAGGGCAAGACTCTACAAAGAGCCCCTGGGCAGTTTCCTGGTCAGAGAGGGCGATGCTCGGGCTTTCAGTGGGCTGCTGTCCCCTGCACCATGAGGGACACGCGCCACGCTCTGTCCACTCGTTCATCCGTCGCTCCCTCTGCCACAGGTCGCAGTGGGGCCAGTGTATGGACAAGTGTGCTCGCCCTCCACTGTGCAGAGGACGGAGAGGAGCCACCGGGGTCAAGGGGATCACAGGGGAGCTCAGATGCATGGGACACTGTGAGGGACCGCTGACTGCGGCACCCAGAGACACCTGCCATTCCCCGCTCAATGCCAAGTTGGTCAGAATCCAGTATCCACATGTCTCAGACCCGAAGGAGGCCTCTGGAAGGCAGACGGATATGTGCCGAGCCATGGGAAGGGCTTGTGGCTGGGACCGGGATCAGCTGGGATGACCTGCCTGTCCAGCTGGGCGAGCCTTGCTGTGGCCTCGGGCAGGTGAGAGAGGGCCACAGGGCAGGCCCACAGCATATCCCCTGTGGCTGGCGGCTGTGCCGGGTGGGGAGGGGGATGGGGACATTGCTATCCCCCGCGGCATGTCCACACCCACGGAGCACTTCAAGAATGTACCAGGTGACTGGCCCCTACCCAGGGCTTTGGTCCTGGCTTCTCTGTTTGCATCTCCCCAGCACACCCACCAGCACCCCCTCACCTGAGGACCTGCTGCTGACTCCAGGGGTCCACATGGCTGTGGGGTGGGGGACAGAGCAGGAAAGTGCACCGGCTTGAGGATGGGGCCTGTCGGTGGAAGGGGTCGAGGGTAGGATGGTGGCTGACCAGGGCTGGCAGAGGCAGGCTCCTGGGCCACGCCCTGGGTCATCAGGCACAGGCTCCCAGGCCACACCCCTGCTTATGGGCACTCCCACCCGATAAGGCCTGCCTGGCGCTGTCCTCGCTCCCAGCGTCCCACACCTTCCAGCACCTTCTAGCCTCTAGACCAGGTTACAACGCCAACCCCAACAATTGCTACTGCCTTTTCCATCTGCTGGTTCACTCCCCTAGATGGCTGCCACAGCCAGGACTGGGCCAGCCCGAAGCCAGGAACCAGGAGGTTCTTTCTGGTCTCCCGTGTGGGTGCTGAGGCCCAGGCACTTGAGCCGTCCTTCTATGCCTTCTCAGGCCATTAACAGTGAGCTAGATGGGAAGTGAAGCAGCTGGGATATGACCAGTGCCTAAGGGATGCAGGAGATGAAGTGGTGGCTTAACCCACTATGCCACGGTGCCCGCAGGTCCCAAACACACTGAGCCCCTCAGAACCCTGGCTGAGGCATGTGAGAGAAGCTGGGGTACGTGTGCCCCCCACCCAGAGCAGGGGAGGGCAGTCGGGTTGGTAGGTCAGGCGGTGGGGGGACCTGTGTCCCCAGCTCGGGCAGGGGCTGCGGTGCCTGTGTAATCCTTGGGACTGTGGTTTGGTGCTCATCCAGAATTGCTCTGGATTTTGTTTTTGTCTTTTAAACAAGAGCCTTTGTTACTTATGCGATAAAGGCCGCCTCTTGTGATTGGACGCGCGCACGCGCGTGGGGGTGGGCGATGCTGCAGGCACAGGCGCTGTGGCTGGAACCTCAGGTGGGGCCTGGTGTCCCTGCCGCTGTCCTTTGGTCATTTCCCAGCATTGTCACTGACCTAGAGAGGGGATCTGGCCCTGCGGTGGCTGCCCCCAGGTGTTCACACAGCAGCCCGCGGAGGGCTCCACCGCGCCTCACAGGGTCACACGGAGATGGGAAAGGATGGGGGCAGGGAAGCATGGGGTCCAGGAGCCCGCATGCCACTGGCCTGTCCAGGGCTGGACAGGTGTGCCCTCTCCGATGCCATGCGTGCAGCCCCAACTCCCTGCATACAAACCAGGGGTGACTGCAGGCTGCTTAACCCTCCTCCCCGCCCCCCACGCCTCCCGGGCGCTGGCTGGATGAAGACAACCTCCAGCCATCCAACTCTGTCCCAGGCAAGGGCAGGCTCCACGTCCTCGGGGGTCAGCAGCCGCCCGACGACACCTCCAGGCCACTTAGCGCGCCTGGCTGCGGAAGGGAGCCAGAGAGCGCAGGGTGGGATGGGGGAGGGTGGGCAGGCGCCCCCCGACCAGTAAGTACCCCAAAGCGCCGAGATCCTGAGCCCCGATCCCCACCGCGCGTCCGACTCGGCGGGACCCTCTGCTGCCCTCCTGCGGCGGAGGCCGCCAACATGCCCTGCGGTGAACGAGTTCCCGCACGGAGCGCTGCGGGGCTGGGGTCTTAAGCACAGGATGTGCGCGAACACCCCGCAAACGCTCTGCTGCTGCTTTAGCGGAGTGATTATCAGCGATTTTTGGGGGGAAACTGAGGTCTGAAAATAGCGAGTGCACGCGTACGCACGTGCTTGTGTTGCGGCGTTAAGGTTTAAGGGGAGCTTTGCTCTCCCCCAGCCCCCTAAAAAAGAATCACGGGTGCGTGGCGTCCAGGGACCGTAAGTCCAGCATCCCCAGCCCGAACCTGGCCCGGGACTGTTTTCTCCGAGCCGGTGCGCGCGGCGGGGCGGAGCGGGCAGTGACGCGCGGGGCGGCCGTGGGGCGGGGACGGGCGGGCGCGGGCTGCATATAAACGCGGGCGCGGGCCAGCACAGCGCTTGGTTCCCGGGACCTTGTCGCCAAGCTCCTGAGCTGAACGCAGCCTTCGGCCCCGCGGGAGAAACCGCTTCGCGCCCGAGCCGAGCTCTCTAGCCGCTCCCCGCTGTCCTCTGCGTTCCTCCATCTGTGCGCCCGCGCCCCCCCAGCCCTCTCCATGAAGCTGGCCGCGATGATCAACAAGATGTGCCCGAGCGACACGGAACTGGGCATCCCAGCCAAGAACTGCTACCGCATGGTCATCCTGGGTTCGTCCAAGGTGGGCAAGACGGCCATCGTGTCGCGCTTCCTCACTGGGCGCTTCGAGGACACCTACACGCCCACCATCGAGGACTTCCACCGCAAGTTCTACTCCATCCGCGGCGAGCTTTACCAGCTGGACATCCTGGACACCTCGGGGAACCACCCGTTCCCCGCCATGCGGCGCCTCTCCATCCTCACAGGTGAGTCGGGGCGCCAGGACCTCCTCCGTGGGTCTGAACTTGGCGCTTGTAGAGTTTGGCGTAGCCCCGGGAAAGCCCTCTTCTCTCCCCCACCCACCAAATCCGATTTGTCCCAATCTCCTCGGGGCTGGGGTGCCGCGCGCAGTCCTTCTCCGGGCACCCCCCCAAGTCGGATCCTGACCCCTGACCTCCCCGGGCCGGGATGCGAGGACCCTCGGACAGGGACGCGCTGAGCTTGGCGCCGCTGCGGGAGTCACCCCCACTCCCCCATCCGACTGAGACATTCCGGATCGGGCTGTCGGGGACCTTGGTGCGGGGAAGGGCGCGCCCGGAGCTCAGCCGGGCCGCCGTCCTCACCCCGTCCCCCTCCGCCCCGCAGGAGACGTGTTCATCTTGGTATTCAGCCTGGACAGCCGCGACTCCTTCCAGGAGGTGCAGAGGCTCAAGCAGCAGATTCTGGACACCAAGTCCCGTCTCAAGAACAAGACCAAAGAGAACGTGGAGGTGCCGCTGGTCATCTGCGGCAACAAGGGCGACCGCGACTCGGATCGCGAGGTGGAGCCGCGCGAGATCCAGCAGCTGGTGGGCGACGACCCCCGGCGCTGCGCCTACTTCGAGATCTCGGCCAAGAAAAACAGCAGCCTGGACCAGATGTTCCGCGCGCTCTTCGCCATGGCCAAGCTGCCGAGCGAGATGAGCCCGGACCTGCACCGCAAGGTGACCATGCCTTACTGCGAGGCGCTGCACAAGAAGGCGCTGCGCAGCAGGAAGCTCCTGCGCGCGGGCAGCAGCGGCGGCGGCGGCGACGCGGGCGACGCCTTTGGCATCGTGGCGCCCTTCGCGCGCAGGCCGAGCGTGCACAGCGACCTCATGTACATCCGCGAGAAGGCCGGCGGCCAGGCCAAGGACAAGGAGCGCTGCGTCATCAGCTAGGACAGCGCGACCACCCTCACCGGGCCGGCCACACAGCCTGCAAGGGCCGGGGTGCTGGTGTCCCGGGGCGCCCCTCGCGGGCCCGCAGGCACTGGCGTCTTCCCTCCTGGCCGCTCCCGCCGGCGCCCCCTGCCCTGGGGCCGTGGGTCTAGGAGGGGCGGCTCCCGCCCAGCAGCGGGTGGGCATGAGCTTGTCTGTTTCCCTGCGTTGCCGTGGCAGCTGGCCAAGGCCTTTGCCCGGTGGGAACGGCCGGATCACAGCCAAGCGACTTGTTTACGCGTGTATGTGTGTCTATGATGTTGCCCATGGACAGACAGACATAAAACTTGCACTTTAATAATAGTTCTGGTGTCAGCACGGACATGAACAAAAATTTTATCCAGCTGTTTATACTATGTGTGTGTGTGAGTTCTTTTAAGTTAACGAATGGCTTTTTTTATATATCTAAAATAAATTTAATATGGAAATCCAAGAGTTCCTCTGCTTTGAGATGGCGGGAGGGAAGGGGAGGGGAGAGGAGAAAGGGGAGGGGAGGGGCGCTGAGGCTGGGCTTCTGCGGACTTCTCTTCCTGGACACAGCTGCCCCAACCAGCCCCCAGGAGAAGCCGGGCATGGTGGGGTGCAGGGCCTCTGTGGGGAAGGGGCCCCTAAGGCTGTTCCTGGAGTAGTGGTTCCCCGTGGCTGAGCTCACAGAGTGCATCCCTGCCCTCGGTCACCAGGCTGCAGGATGCAGGGGAAGTGAGAACAGGCAGGGAGGTGAGGGTAGGCAGAGGGCCCTGCCCCTCCCCCGCCAGCTCCGGGCTGCAGGCTTCAGAATCCGCCCTCCACCTTCTGGGGTGCCCAGCCCCTCTGCGCCTGGCCAAGGGGACTGCCACCCACCCCCGCTCCAGCTCCACCTCTTCAGGGGCACCCAGCACCCCGTGAGCCCCACAGCAGGTGTGCCCTGGGTGACAACCTCGGTGGCTGGTGGGAGTGCTGGGGGCAGGGGGGTGACACTCCCCTCCACTAGCCAAGATCCTGCCACGTGTTTCTCAGCAAAACGAAAACCATGATGGCCAGCGGGTGGAGAAAGTTCTTTTTAATTCGCTTTGAAAAAAATAAGATCCTGCTGCTTAGAACTCCGAGCAGGCTCCCAGTGCACCCCCCCACCCCTCCTCCTGCGTGGGCAGGAAGGCGCGATGCTTCACGGGCTCTGATCAGAGCCTTAAAACCAGTCTACCTACCAGCAAGTTTCAAGAAAATAACTGTAATAATTGATTACAGCTCCCAAGGCACAGAGGGTCCAACTCAGACCCAGAGCCGGCTCTCTTGTCCACAGCCCCCAAAGCTCACGGTGCCCCCCAGGCACCCCGTACAGCCCAGGCCAGGCATCTTCTGACAGCAGGAGGTGGGCATGGCCGCTCTGGGTCACAAATGCCTTCCTTAGCAGGTCTGCCAACTAGATCAGCTGGTAGGCACCTGCCAAGCCCTGGAGCTGGCCAGGTCCCTGCAAGTCAAGGCCAGCAGTACTGATGGCAGTGCTGGGGACCCAGCACCCTGCCCTTCCTCCACAGGACGGGGTGCCAGGGGTGCAGCTGGATGAGTGCTCATGGCCGGCAGTGCTGAGGCCTGGGGTGGGCCCGAGAGCCACAAGAGGGAGGCCTGCGGCCCTCTCCAGCCCCGGAAGCTTGTGTGGGTTTGGAGTGATGTGGCCCTTTGTCCCGCATGGACAGGAGCAGCGAGAGGCCAGCGGCAGGTGAGGCCCAGGCTCAGTTGGCCTGCGGGGCTCCAGGCGGCCACCCCCACAGATCTATTCCGTTCCGTTCCCTTCCTCAGCTCACACCAGAAAGGGAGCAAACGGGAACGCCTCCCTCTGGCCTCTCATTCTCCCACAGCCTCTTTTAATTACATTAAACCAAGCCATGTGAGTACAGGCCCGACGTGTCGGGGGATGCTATGCAAATGCTTGGCAGAGTGCTGGAAACCAGAACAACGTGTACCAGGTGCGGGCGAGGGGGGCCGCAGAGAGGAGCCCCAACTCAGCAGGGCGCACCCGGGCGAGGGGGGCCGACTCAGCAGGTGGCGCGTCCCCGGCTACTCCTTGGGGATCTCGAACATGCAGAGGCTCTTGTACTTGTGCAGCAGCTCGTTCTTGGTCCTCACTTGCTCCCGCAGGCTGTGCAGCTGCTGCTGCTGCTGCTCAGGGCTCAGGTGGGTGCCTGGCATGGCGCTGATGAGCTTGCGCATCTCCTGGAACTTGGCTTTGAGGGCGTTCAGGTCCTGGTGCACATCCGGGCTGTCCTTGTCCATGCTACAGGGTTGGGATGACAACAGAGGTTAGCATTTCCAGGTGGGACCCTGCCTGCCTGCCCTGCTCTGCCCGCCCCGAGGAGGCACTGCGGGAGAGCAGGAGGAACAGCCTGCAGCCCCGAGTGCTCTCTGCGGGGCCGGGGCCACGTCTGCCGCCTCATGTCCGCGTCCCTGGCCCCTGTGCCTAGGTCGGCAGGGAGTCCAGTGTGGAGCTCGACCAGGCCCTGCAAGGGGGAACTTCAGCTGCGGTTTCCTTGCCTGCTCATACCTGTTAATATCACCACCGAGTTCCACAGAGTGGTTCATAAATTTTACATTGCTACAAGCAGTTCTCCCTAGCTTAGTCATGCAACCCACGCCTTTTATAGGGAGCTCACCCAGCGTGTCTCCTGGCCATTGTGGGCTGCCGGGGGAGGGGGCCCTCACTTCTCTGTCCCCGCCAAGGGAAAGGCTAAATGAACCCCTCGCTCCCTGCTTCCGCCATCCAAGATTCAGGGCAATCAGTTGTTTCAGCCCTTTTTTTTTTTTAAAGTTTCTTGGTGGACTGGTTGTTGTAAACAAGTGGCTGAGATGAAAAGCTAACAGGCGGGGAGGCGCTCTGAGGGTAAGCCCACAGGGCAGCACAGGAGGGAGACGCTGCCACCGCCGGCCACCTTGTCCCCAGTGGGGCATTTCGGCCCCGAGACTGGTGGGCTGTGTTCACTCTGCCACTGTTGGCCCTGTACGGGCACCCGGGCCGCGGGCCTGCTGCACTGCACACACAGCCCTCGGCTGCGCCAGGGCACCTGGTCGGTCCTTCCCATGCCATCTAATGCCCTTTGCTTAGATGGGCCTGACTTCCCGGGGACACAAATAGTTAATTGCTAAAGCCTGGGAGAGTGGGCATGGACAGTTCACACCAGCCTGTCAGTTTTCCTGCCCCGGCTGCCTTGGGTTGACACACCCACGGTCACTGGGGTCTACTGCCCCTTCAGATCTGCCCCATCGTGTCCCTGCGGGCAGGTGGGCGGAGCACAGGCCTTCCTGCTCACAGGTCACTGCCCAGTGCGGGTCTGACCCACCCTGCCACACTGCTGTGTCCTCAGAAACCTGGAGCTGCCAGGAAGAAAGCAGGCCGTGGCCCAGATGCCCACTTCCGCAAGCGCCCCAGTGGCCAGGGCTGCCATTCTTTACTCGGTGCACTGCTGCGCAAGGAGGTAGCTGTCGGCAAGCAGCGAGCAGTGCCGAGAAAGCTGCCCAGTGGGGACCCAAGGTGAGAGGGAGCCATGGCCCCCGGAGGTCACTCCGCCTAGGTGAGCGACCCAAGGGGCCAGCGGAACACTGAGGGGGGGGGTACAGCTGCAGGCTGCTGGCAGCACAGGCCGACCCAGACGTGAGCGGAACAGACAGCTCAGAGCCTCTGTGAGTCACCGCCCACCTCAGAGGGAGCAAGAGGCTGAGAGCCTGCAGGGCAGGGAGACGCTGGGGAGAGGGGAGAACGCCCGGGCAAGGAGAAGCTGGGGAGAGGGGAGAACGCCCGGGCAAGGAGAAGCTGGGGAGAGGGGAGAACGCCCAGGCAAGGAGAAGCTGGGGAGAGGGGAGAACACCCGCCTGGTGAAGAGGGGCCCGGAGTAGCACCTCATGTGCTCAGGAGGTGGACAGGAGTGCCACTGCTGGGGCCAGCCCAGGCGTGTGGTGGGATGAGCTTTGGCCCACAGTGCCCACGTTACTTCCCATCCAGCTCCCTGCTCGTGACCTGGGAAGCAGCGGAAGATGGCCCAAAGACTTGGGATGTGCACCCATGGAGACATGGAAGAGGCTCCTGGCTCCTGGCACTGGCCTGGCCAGCCCTGGCTATCCTGGCCCTTTGGAGCCTGAACCAGCGGACTAAAGACCTCTAACCCTTCCTTTCCAGTAAATGGAATGAATGTTCAAGAAAACAGAATGGAGTTGGGAATCGCTCTGCCCCCGTCTAGCCCAGGTGCTTCAGCAGCTGTGCCGCCCCCCAAACCCCCGCAACTCAGGCACAAAGTGGAACCCCCAGGGTGACTGAAGCTGGCCCCTTCGCAGACAGCAGCGTGCCAACACAGGCCTGCGCGAGGCCTTGCTCTGACCCAGCAGGGCATGCGGCTCCCACGTCAGCACGCAGACGGCGGCTTTGTAGTGTCTGCGGCTGACCCCGCCAGCCACGGACACTGTGTCCACGTCCTCTGGGGCTTGTGCAAGACTTGTGTGGAAGATCACTTCCGACGCATGGGAATTCTGGATCAAAGCGTAGGCAATTTGGGACAGATGTGACCACGACGCTCTGCAGAGGCCTGTGCTGACGTCCGCTGTGGGGAACAGTGGGCGGATCCTGTCACAGCACTGCCCATGACATCATGCTCTCTGCTCCTGGCCCGCCGGACCCTGGGGACGCAGGGGAGCAGGCTCTGCCCCTCAAGCCCTGCCTCCTGGCTCATGGTGACCAAGCCCTTTTCTGGGGAGAACTGCCCTGACCTCTGTGGACCCCCTCTGGAGGCTGGGACATGCCCCACTTGCCCCAGGGCCTGCTCCCCACCCCACCCCCCCAGCCCAGCCTGGCCAGTCCTGCCCAGCCCCTCTGCCCCAGTGACCTCCAGGTGATCGAGCAGCCGCTCCCGGCTACCCACCCAACACCACTCACCAGGTTTGTTCACCCCAAGAAAATGTCTTACATTGCCCTAAGCACCCTGTGACGCAGTGGGGCTTCTGTCCTGGGGGGCCTGCAGACGCTTGCCTGGCATGCTGCACAAGTACAACCAAGGGGCTGACGAACGGGGAGGGCCTGAGGGGGGCCTGGCACAGCCCCTCCAAGCCATCACTCATCCTCACCAGGGACACGGGCTGCAGCCACCGCCAGCACAACCCATCCCCTCCCCTAAGGTGGGAGTAGGCCTCAGCTGGCCTGGAGGGCCAGGCAGATTAAAATAGACCTTGTGTGGGAAGCAGCAGGCCGGTCCTACCGTGTTCCCATGTGAGCGGGGCCAGCCCGGGGCCTGCTGACCCACCGTGACAAGTGGACGTGCTGAACAAGTACGGCCTGCCTGTGACTCAGCCCTCAGCAGGGCTGAGGCCAGCCCTGACCGCCCAGCCCACACCCCCAGCCATCTGCAAGAACAGGCCGTTAGGACACGCTGAGTGTCCATCTACAGCGTCCTGGGGGCTTGCAGGGGGATGGTCAGGCCACAGGGCCGGCAGCAGGGCGGGCAGTGGCAGAACCTGGCTGTGGAGATCAGGAGCTCAGGCTGATTGGATCTGCCATGTTTGAAGGAGATGGACATACACACCCACACACACACACACACACACGAAGAGCAGCTTTCCTGGCCTGGTGGCCAGCACTTCCTCTCCCTTCCCCCCCCTGCATGGGGGCCTGCGGCTCCTGCACACGGCCAGGGCGGTCCCAGAGCAGGTAACCTTCGCGCAGGCGTGCTGGGAGCTTCCTCCCTTTGCTGCTGCAGCAGAACCGGACTGTGTGGGTTTTGCGGGAGAGATGAAAGCGTCCCGGGGCAGGTGGGCGGGTCCCCCTCCGGGTTCTGCGGTGGATGCTCCTGGCACAAGACCATCGGGGGTCTGAGACCCCCTGAGTCGGGGCGGAACAGGGAGCCCTGGGGCTTGTGAGTAGAAAACTCTGCTTCGGCAGACGGATCAGGAGACAGAGCACCCGGGAGGAGACGAGAAGTCTCCGGCCCCACAAGCCAGGGCCCGGCACTGTGGCGCAGCACGCCGATCTTCCGCCAGCGGTGCTGGCGTCCCACATGGTGGGCGTGAGTTTAAGTCTCAGCTGCTTCACTTCTGACCCGGCTCCCTGTTAACGAGCCTGGGAAAGCAGTGGAGGACAGATGGAGTTCTGGGTGCTTGCACCCATGTGGGAGACCCAGGGCAAGGTCCTTCTCTCTGTGTGTCACTCTGCCTTTCAAATAAAAATAAACAAACCTTTTTCAAAAAGATACAAAACAAGGTGAAACACCCTGCTTGGTGAGCGTGTCACAGGCTTAGCAGCACAGGTGCAAACAGAGATAAGATCACGGCCAAGCAGGTGACCTCAGAGAGCTCCTGGGAATTTTACCATCTACGCCTGCTGGGTAAAAGCACATTTTCTGCGACCACTTTGAAAGACTCGAGCTGGTGAGCAAAAGGGAAGGGGGAGAAGGCAAGGTGAATGTTAGCCACGCGTGCCGGGAGACTGCAGGCCGAGCGGCGGGCGGGCAGGACGGAGCACCTGGCCAGACAGTGCCCGGGGTCCACCGCATGGGTGGGCGACCGGCCAGGGCAGGACACTGCACTCAACACCCATTCTATAGCAAACCCAAGAAGCTAAGCGTCATCTGGCCAGGAGAGCCCTCCTGCCAGGGCCCACCGGCCCAGGAGGGGGCAGCCAGAGGACAGCATGCGGCACCCACAGCCAGGGAGCAGACAGGCCACTGCGGGAAGCACTCCTCACACCTCACACCTCCGACAGAGAGTGCATAAAAACAACCACGCAGGGCCGGGCGCGAAGGCGTAGTGGTTAAGGTCCTCGCCTTGCATGCCCGGGATCCCATAGGGTCGCCAGTTCTAATCCCGGCAGCCCTGCTTCCCATCCAGCTCCCTGCCTGTGGCCTGGGAAAGCAGTGGAGGACGGCCCAAAGCTTTGGGACCCTTCACCCACGTAGGAAACCTGGAAGAAGCTCCTGGCTCCTGGCTCCTGGCCATTGCGGTCACTTGGGAAGTGATCTTCCTTTCTGTCTCTCGTCCTCTCTGTATATCTGACTTTGCAATAAAAATGAATGAATCTTTTTTTAAAAAAAAAATTCACTCGTAGAGCCCCCAAGGCTCAATCAATGGGTGCTGACAATAAAAGGAATATGGTGTGTTGGCGCTGGGGCCCCTCAAACAAAGGTGAACGCCAAGGGGGTACGGGCTGCTCGCGCCCCCTTCCCTTCCAGGGCTGCCCCGGAGCCCAGCTACACGAGCTGACAGACTTCCCAGGTTAACTGGAGCACCCGACTCACATGCCTGGCAAGTGGGCCTTTTTGCATCCTTCATGAGAATGCTCTAAACCTCACACCAGATAGCCGGCCCCGGGTGCAGCACCTGCTCTGAGCTCGAGACTGCTTACACGAGGCCCAGCCGCAGCTCAGGTTAACGGTACGCCCGCGGTGGTGGCCTGATGAGGCGGGCTGCTGGGTGGGACGCGGAGAGGAGTCCGGGACAGGGCAGCCTGTTCTCCACTTGTCTGAGTTGGAAAAGCCTGCACGTGCGAGTCTCCACAGTCACCCCGGGGTGGATGGTACACCCTTCAGACCCTTACAAAGTCTCCTACAGAAACCAACCCAGGACGCGGAATGTTCCAGAGGGACAGGAAAGCCCATGCTCGAGGTGTCAGGGGCCAGTCCTTTTTAGCTATTCCCTGGGCAGAGGCTCAACAAACAGGAAGAAGCCATGGGGCAGTGGCCGCACACTGAGGCTCCCAGTGCAGACAGGGCCCGGCCTTGACCTCGCCCTGGCTCGCCAGGCCTGCTGGACTGCCAGCTCCCCCAGCCAGCCCTCAGGCCACAGCCCTGCTGCCAAGGCGGCTGTGCTGGCCCTGCTGCTGGCTCCTCTCTCCTTGTCAGCTCTCTCCCTTCCAACTTGGACTGGGGTTTGATACCATTAAGGGCCGAGCCTGTAGCCAGGCTGAGGCCCCTCACCCATGCCATGCCCTTCCTCCTCGCCTGGCTTCAGACTTGCTAGCGCCACGGCCCCTGGCAAGCTTGGGCCCTCAAGAGCCTCCAGCTGGACACATAGCCTGCACTGCAGGCTCCAGCCAGCTCTCACCGTGAAGTCACCCCTGCCTCTCCTGGGGGCTTCTCAGCTGCCGGCTCAGCCCTCTTCCTGTAGGGTCTGGCCGTCCGCTGAGTGGGAGCTGCAGGCCCTTCCTTGGGACAGACAGACAAGGGTTCTTTCTCAGGAGGAAGGTGGTTTCTCTCGAGTTGGTCACTGTCCAGGGAGGGACCACTGCTCTCTGGTGCCAGTCTAGCGGCAGGATCTACCTCCTTCAGACTGCCAACTGTGGATGTAATTTCATGAGGGCTCCCCACCACCTGCTTCTGCCTGGGGAGGGAGGGGTGCTTCAATCACCTGCCGTGACAGAACAAGGTGGCCACCTGGTTACCTGGACAGAGGTGACAGGGCTAACGGCCCCTGCTAGAATCTGCAATGACCAGAACTGCAGCTGGGAAAGGGCAGGCGGTACGGCAAGCGACAGAAAGCCAGCACCTGGATCCGAGCCCAGACCCATGTCCACTCTCTCCCTCTCTCTCTCCCTCTTATCTGCTGGCGTGGCCAGCCAAACCCAGGCGCTGTGCCGGGGTCCGTAGAACAGCCCCCACCTGTCACTGTCCACGATTTGCTTTGGTCTCTCCTGAAACCTCACCTCTGGGTCACCCCGGATAATCCCCCAGGACAGCAGCATCCGTGGGCTGGTACTCCTGGGCACACCCTCACTGGAGACCACATGCTGGCCCAACACAGGACATGGAGTGGAGCTGCCAGGATTTGAACCGGCGCCCATATGGGATCCAGGCCACAGTCTTTTACCCTGGGCTCATGTCCCAGCAGCTCTACTTCCCATCCAGCCCTTTGCTAATGGCCTGACGAAGGAACTGCAAGACAGCCCAGGTGCCGGGGACCCTGCCACCCACAGGGGAGAACTGGACGAAGCCCCCTGGCTTGTGGCTTCAGCCTGGCCCAGGCCTGCCTGGTGCAGCCTTCTGGGAATGAACCAGTCAGTAGAAGACACCTACTCAGGGCCCGGCACCATGGCTCCATGTCTAAAGTCCTCGCCTTGCAACTGCCAGGATCCCACAGGGGCACCGGTTCATGTCCCAGCTGCTCCACTTCCTTATCCAGCTCCCTGCTTGTGGCCTGGGAAAGCAATCAAGGACGGCCCAAAGCCTTGGAATCCTGCACCCATGTAGGAGACCCGGAAGAAGCTCCTGGCTCCTGATCATCACAGCTCGGGCCGTTGCGGCCATTTTGGGAGTGAACCAGTAGAAGAAGTTCTTTCAGTCTCTCCTTCTCTCTGTAAATCTGCCTTTCCAATAATAAATAAATCTTCTAAGAAAAAAAACAAAGCTATTAAAAAAAAGATATCTCTCTCTGTATAAATCTTCCAAAATAAATAAATGCAGCATTAAAAAAAAAAATAAAGGCTATCCTTTTGCTGCTGGCCACTCCATCACAGCACAGCCAGTCACCAGTGCGTCAAGCAACAGCTCTGTCCATTAGCCCAGCTCTGATGTGTCATGGTTGAATATGAGTTGCAAGCCAGGAGCTCACAGCCAGTACCGGGTCCCAGGTACATGATGGTGGTTGCACAAGCTTACGTCGGGGCTGAAGATCCCCTCGGCCAGCACCGTTTCCACAAACTCCATGGGTACTTGACAGTGAGGAAAAATGAGGTAACATCGGAAAATCCAAGAGAAATGGAATTCACGCTGTCGGCGCAGGAGCCAGCCTCCTGGTGCAAACCAAGAGACCCAGAGTGCTCCACTTCCCATTCAGCTCTCTGCACTTGGGAAAGTCAGGGAGAGTATGGCCCAGGGGCGTCTGCCGCCCATGTGAGAGACCCAGAAGAGGTTCCTGGCTCCTGGCTTCAGTCTGACTCAGATCATTTTTTGCATAATAGGCACTTTCTCCAAGAAGGCTCCTAATTGCTATTCCTTGAGAGGGTGCACCTCCCACTTAAAAAACTCCCTCCCGACATGCAACTGGACTCGAGTGGCATCTGCAGGAGGTGGTGGCACAGGACTGTCCGGTTGCACAGCGCTCCCGACAGGGTCTCTCTCCAAAGCTCAGGGGGGCTGCCCTGCCCACTGGGGCCAGCGGGGCGACCACCTTCTGGGAGAGCTAAGCTAGCGCTTGGCTTTTCTGCATGGTGGGTAATGCCTGCTGTCCCCTGCCTGGGGCCTGGTGAGGGAGAGGAGCTGACCCCTAAACCCCACGAGAAGCTGACCCCTACACTGCACTAGGAGCTGGCTCCTACACCCCACAAGGAGTCGGTTCCACACCCCATGAGGAGCTGGCCCCCACACCCCACGAGGAGCTGGCCCCCACACCCCATGCACCCCACCACTCCAGGCGCGCTGGTGGCAGGTCTGAGAAGTGGGGGCTCGGCGGGGCGTGCCTCAGGCCTCGTCCCCACCTCTCCTAGACTCCTTACCATTTGATGATGTTGTGCACCAAAGGCAAAAAGGAGTAATTCTCCTCCTCCTTCATGCCGCCGGGGGACTGCGGGCGCGGCTGGGGCGCCGGCGGCGGCTGGGGCGCGGCCACAGGCGGCGGCGGCTGGGCAGGCGGCAGCGGCTTGGGCTCGGGCAGCGGCGGCTCGGCGGCCGGCGGCAGCGCGTCCTCGGCCGCTCGCGCAGAGCCCACGCCGGAGGAGGCCATGGGCCCGTCCACCCGGGTCCGCTCCCGGAGCGGCGCGCACTGACACGTCACCACCGCGCGCCGCAGGGGCGGGGCAGGAGGCGCAGGCGCGGCGAGGCAGGAGGCGCGGGCGTCGCCGGGCGCGGGGAGGCGGCTTCTGTTGCTAGGCGACGGGTCGTGGCCCGGATTATTAAATAGAAATAGGAGATTTAGCTCAGAAATGACAGCTGGCTCATGTCTATTCACATAAAAAAAAGAAACCCAAAGCGGCTGATATAAGAACAATGGAGGTAAGTGGGGCACAGCATGGCCCCCTCAGCTGGGCTCCAGGTTGCATACCCAGTGTCAGCCCCCTTGCTAAGTAGGCTCCCGGGGACTCTAGGGGCAAGAAGCCCAGGTCCCTCCCTGCCGGGCATGGCAGCAAGCATTTCGTGTGCCCTGCCTCTGCCCCTGCACCTGCTGGGTGGCCTGGGCCGCTACCTGCATGCGGGCAGGGGCCTGGCAAGGCACTGCAGCCTTCCAGTGCCGGGCCAGTTCTTTTGTTTGTTTGTTTAAAGATTAATTAATTGGAAAGTCAGGGTTACAGAGAGAGGAGCCACCAAGCTTCCATCTGCTGGTTAGCTCTCCAGATGGCCACAAGGGCCAAAGCTGGGCTAATCCGAACCCAAGTGTTTCTTCAGCTTTCCCTCATGCGTGTCCAGGCTCAAACACTGGAACCATCTTCTGCTGCTCTCTTAGGCCATAAGCAGGAAGCTGGATGGGAAGTGGAGCAACTGGGACTCGAACCAGTGTCTATATGGGATACCGGTGTCACAGGCAAGGGCTTAGCCTGCTACGCCAGGGTGCCTGGGCCAGTTCTTCAAGCCCTTGGAGGAGTTGGTTATACACCTGTGGAATCTTATTTAAGCTCACCGTCATGGCGGAGCCTATGCTACTCTCTAACTTCCACAGCATCCTAGGCCGAGGACAGGGGCTGCAGATGGATTTGCAGGGGGACATCCCAGATCGGGCATGCTCTGGGGGCTGTGTGACCAGTGTCAGGCAGCTGGGCTCCTGAGAAAGGACAGAAGCTGTGACCTGCCCTTGCTCAGCCCTTCCCCCTCATGAGCAGGAGAGAGGCAGCAAGATGAGGGGGAGCAGGGGGCCAGGTGGCTGGGCCCAGAGGGAGCATCCGGCTGATCCCTGCAGGTGCACTGGGAGACAGCATGCAGCCACACCCCAGATGAGCAGGAGCGCAGAGCTGAAGGGTCCAGCTGTGGATCTCTCCACCCAAGGCACCCAGCTCTATTGGAGTGGGATCAGAGATGGGCTCGGAGTCAGCTGGGGCTCGCAGGAAGGGAGAGCCGTCATGAACATCACGGTCATGACCACAGCTGCCATGGAACCAAAGGAGGTATGGGAATGAGCTATCATCCTTGCCTCACTGAATCCGTGAAACAGAATTGGAAAAAGTAGACGTTAGCATTCTCATTTTATTTTTTTTTTTTAAGATTTATGTTATTTTTATTAGAAAGTCAGATATACAGAAAAGAGGAGAGACAGAGAGGAAGATCTTCCGTCCAATGATTTACACCCCAAGTGACCTCAATGGCCAGTGCTGCGCCGATCTGAAGCCAGGAGCCAGAAACTCTTCCGGGTCTCCCACACGGGTGCAGGGTCCCAAGGCCTTGGGCTGTCCTCCACTGCTTTCCCAGGCCACAGGCAGGGAGCCGGATAGGAAGTGGGGCCATTGGGGTTAGAACTGGTGCCCATATGGGATCCCAGCATGTTCAAGACGAGGACCTTAACCATTACGCTATTGTGCCAGGCCCAGGAGCCCCATCTTAAAGATGAAAAAAAAAAAAATCAAGACTTCCCATGAATACTTGCTCTAAGGTTCCTCAGTTGTCCTGACACTGTAGCCAGAGGGCTTAAGTACCTTCCGGCCCCTGCTACTTTTGCAACTTTATGGTTCACTGTGTCAACACTGGGTTTTATTCAGAATTTGCAGAGCAGTCCAATAGTCATCAGTAACGTCTCCATGGCAACTGTGTCATCTTCTCCCTGTCCCCCTCATCATGCTGTGTCACAAGCCCCAGTTTTGTCACTGGCAGAATAATGAGAACATTCTTTAAAAATATATAATTCAGATATAAATAGATAATATGACTTACCAAAAAAGTCCCCACACCAGAAAGATAACACAAACAAGGATGGTGTTTCGACAAAGTTGCCCTAAAAATAGTGAATAGAATTAGGGGCAAAGGGCAAAGCTGACTTCATAATGTGGCAAACAGATGTCAGAAGAATACTGCCTCTGCAAAGGCCAAAACTGTCACAAAACCGTGTGTCTGTTCTGAGGGTTCTGCTGCAAGCCAGGAAAGGCAGCTGTTCCGTTCAGAACTGAGAGCGTGTTGGGTTCGCCACGTGGACAGGTTGAGCTGTGTTGTCGCTGACTGATGCCATTTCTGCGGGCTTCGGCTGGTCCAATTTTTGGTGGCGAGGTCAGACTTTGCAGTGGCCTGACTGACTTTCGTCCCCGCATGGCCCCTTTGGAGCTGTGTGTCTGGACCAACCAGCATCTCTCTCTCTCTCTCTCTACCTGGATGCAGTCACAGAGCTTTGTAGGACCCCAGGGGCTATTTGGCTCTGACTGGGATGTTCCCCCAAGTTCATGTGCTGGGACTTATAACTCACTGGTGGGACACAGAGATTAGATACTCCTCACTGGGGTATTGAGGATTTCTCTGCACACCCCTCCTAAAACTGTTCACCTAAAGTGTTGACATATGTCTTGTTGGAGTTATAGAGTTAAACTACCCGAAAAACAGCCAGGTTCAGCAAAGTCATGCTTCAACGCTCTAACTGCTAAATACTAAAATTAAAATAGACATGAGACAGCTGAATAGTAATCTATAGCCGTTTTAAGGTGTATAGAAACCAGTTATATAGGGCCTGGCGCGATGGCACAGTGGTTAAGGTCCTCGCCTTGCACGCCCGGGATCCCATATGGGCGCCAGTTCGAATCCAGGCAGCCCCGCTTCCCACCCAGCTCCCTGCCTGTGACCCGGGAAAGCAGTCGAGGACGGCCCAAAGCTTTGGAACCCTGCACCCATGTGGGAGACCTGGAAGAAGTTCCTGGCTCCTGGCTTCGGACCGGCATAGCATCGGCCGTTGCGCTCACTTGGGGAGTGAATCATCGGACGGAAGATCTTCCTCTCTGTCTCTCCTCTCTGTATATCTGCCTTTCCAATAAAAATAAAATAAATCTTAAAAAAGAAACCAGTTATATATAAACTAATAATTGAAATGTCAATGTAGAAGTCACAGGATGTGGTTCAGAACTTGCATTCTTTTTTTTTTTCTCTTTTAACATATTGGTTACTCAATACCATGTCAACTAATTCCATAACACTATAAATTGTTACTGATGTAATGTCGGGGCTTTTAAATGATCGGGATGATACTGTGCCAGCTCTACCTTCAGACCAGAGATGGTCTCCCCAAGAAACCGAATGAACTTATCTGGACAATAAGGTGCTGGACTTTATACTTGGTAGATGCTTGCAAGGAAAGAATCTCAACTGAATTTGAACTGTGGTAATATAACAAGGTGGAGGAATCCACCATGGGGAGTGGGGTTTGGGGAGGGGAGGGGGGAATCCCAGTGCCTATAAAACTGTGTCACATGATGCAATGTAATCAATAAAAATTAATTAATTAATTAATTAAGGGCATTGCTGTAAAAAAAAAAAAATAAAAGTTCACGTGCTGGGATTGTGTGGGAGCACCGACCTGCAAGGTGGAGGCAACAACGTGCAGAAGGGAAAACCTGGCGGGGTAGGGGTGGGGTCTAGAGTGGGGTTTGTGATGGAGAGAAGGGTTGAGCTGGGACATGGCCAGGCGGTAGCAGCAGGTGTGTCCGCCCAGGCCATCGCAGCCGTTTGTGGAGTGAATCTCAGATGGACCATCTCTCTGTCTCCCCTTTTCTCTCTCTACCTTGGCCTTTCAAAAATATACCTTTTGTAAACGAACAAATAAGCATCATGGCTTTTAATTCAGCCCAAGACAGCCAAGTGATAATCTTATAATTTCAACATATGATCAATACTATAAATATTATCCAGGTGTCTTACTGGTTTACATGGTGCTTTTAAAACCCGGAGTCAGGCACGGTGGTCTAGTGGCTTAAGCTCTCGCCTTGAACACATCAGAATCCCATTTAGGCGCTGGCTCTAATCCTGGCAAGCCCCACTTCCCATCTAGCTCCCAGCTTATGGCCTGGGAAAGCAGTCGAGGATGGCCCAAAGCCTTGGGATCCTGCACTCGTGTGGGAGACCCAGAAGAGGCTCCTGGTTCCTGGCTTCGGATCAACTCAGCTCCAGCAGTTGCACTCACTTGGGGAGTGAACCAGTAGATGGAAGATCTTCCTCTCTGCCTCTCCTCCTCTCTGTATCTGCCTTTCCAATAAAAATAAATAAATCTTTTAAAAAATTATTTTATTGCTTTTTAAAAAAATTTGCATTTGCTTTTTTAAAAATTGTTCTTTGGGTTCTTTTTTTTGTGTGTGTGGGTAATACCATTGTTCCCACACTAATATCATCATTTTTTCCTGTATCTGGGGTCAGGGGAGAAACAGAGGGAGAAGCCCCACCCAGCCTCCCACCCATCCCAGGTCCCCGATGTGAGGCATGCACTGACATACTGGCAGGGGTTGTCTCCCTGGGTGGTCAGTGCTGGCCATCACGGTCATGGTCGTGGCATGGAGGGCAGCGCGAGGGGAGGGGACAGAGCTCACCCTTTGTGCACACGTGTTCACCTTGGCCGTGGGTGCCAGACACATGAGCAGTAGCATTTGAGGAGCATTTGAGGGATCTCCCCGCGTGGGGCAGGAAGGAGCGCAGGCTGGGGGTGCCCCAGGTCGCGGCCGTGTGCAGCTTCGTCCTCTGCTGGCCTTCTGGGCCGCTTGGAGCCCGGGTGGGACCAGAGCCCCAGGAATCTTCCAGCTTGACCCCCTCCTGTCCTTCCTGGGGCTGCTCTGA